CATTTTGACACAGAATATAAACTTGTGAGCCAGATTCCAGAAATAACTGTGTATCCTCCCAGCTAATATGACAGACAAGGGCCCATACTGGGGACTCTGTGGTGCACCTGTCAAGGGTGAGCACCTGCAAAGACACTTATAACGGGAGCAGGGATGACAAGTGACACAGAGTGACTGAAAATCCTCAACCCTGCTGTGGCAATTCCGGAAATAAGTCATCATTTGGTGTCTGTTCTGCACAGTCATTAAAATTTCCCAAGCACAGGCCAAAATGGCTGACAGCAAGAAAAAGACATGTCTCGTGTAAGGAAAAACCAAAAGCCAGAAGTGGTAAATTGATATTTATTTTCTTTTCATCCACACCCAAACACCTGGATTTTGATTTTTTTTTTTCCCTCTGGTGAAGGTATCTATTTAGACTCTACTCAGATGAGTCATGTTTTGGATAAAGTGTCTTTCAAAGCACCAGTTCTTCACAGGGGTTAGGTAACTTTTCATTTTCCATCATGGGTATGAAATTGACATTTGAAGCCAGGCAAATATTGTACAGAAAACGGTGTGAAAGGAGAGGAGTCCCAAGTCTCGTTTGACACGGTTCATCTCAAGCGCTGCAAGCAGCTTCCAGATAAGAGGATCGATGGCACCCTCACTGCCAGCTCCTGTTCCCAGCGGCACGAGGGACACCACGTGGGCCGATGAGATGAGGCAGGTGTGTGTCCCCAGCCCAGGAGTCTCTTGGGAACCTGCTACAGATCTCTCACCGAAAGCATAACTGGCATCATCGTGAGATGCCAGATCTTGCTGCACTATGACAATTTTTCAGATCAACAAGTCTCGGGAAATGAATTTCCTACTCTCGCCTGTACATTTCAGAATGGAAACAGAATCCAAACCATGACAACACAGGTGGGAAACACCGTAAGTGGTGTGATCAATGTATGGTGGGAACCCAGAGGAGGTGCAGCCCCCTCCCCCAGTCTGATGGAGAAAGTGCAGCCTAATGGGGTAGGGGACGGGGGTAGCTAACTCAGTGACAGAGAACTTGTCTTAAATGGGCATCAGATTTGATCCCCAGCACACTCCACAGTGACACCCAGAAACACAACAACCTCAACTGTCTACAGTGACATCCAGCAACATAGCAACTTCAACTGTCTTTAGCTTAGAGGGCCCACTGTGGGTCAGCCATGATTCCAAATGCTTTTCACATTTTACCTAAGGGAATCCTTACAAACCAATGAGAGATATAATAACAAAATGTAACATCCATTAAAGGCACCATTCTAAGGACTTTATCTTCAACTCATTTAATCCCCACATCAAATCCATCGTCTATCTGTCTGTCTATCATCTATCATTTATCTCTATCAGCTATCTATCTTATCATCTGTGTTATACAGACAGAGAAACTGAGGCACCAATAGCATTGATTTTCACTGGGTCATTCAGCTGGTGGGGACGGTTGAGCGGTCCTTTGAAATCAGGTATGCTGGCAGCAACACCCAAGTGCTTCATCGTGTTAATAACACAGCTTCGCCCAACACTGTTCTGTGTTTACCGATAAGGAAGTTCTGCTGGGGCAGGAGAGATGGCTTACAGGTTAAGAACACCTGCTGCTCTTGCAGAAGACCCGGGTTTGTTTTCCAACCCCACATGGTGGCTCACATCTCTATTTCTGGTGACAAGGGACCTGACATCCTCTTCTGGCCACCACAGGCACTGCATGCATGTGGAACACAAACGTGTGTAAGCCAACATTCATGCACATAAAACAAAACGAATTTTTGTTGTTGTTGTTGTTTAAAAAAAAAAGTCTTGCTGATTTGGGGGGAGAAGCTAGATATAAAATGCAGGTGGCTTGCTTGCCTGCAGAACCTAAATTCTACTAACAGCCAATGGCTGCCAACTTGTGTAAATTCAGCTTTTAACATAATCCAAAATGCTAGAAAACACTTTCTTTTCCCTATCTGTGGGAAGCTTGCAGAGCGCATCAGAATGGAAGAGCACCGGCCCTCTTCTTATCATCACTGGCTTATATTTTTACAAGTCTACACGGCTATTCTGGTCTGTGGCAGCTCAGAGACCACAGTGTGGGTACAGCATCAGAGAGGCACAGAGCACCAGACAACCCTGCAGCAGGGGATGGAGGAAGACACGTCATCTGAGGCCTGAAGCTTGTGGTTTACTTGTCCTGGGTACCTCATAATGGATACCATCAGCTTGTTCTTTCTAGGAACCTAGTATTGACATTGTCACCCTTCATGTCTGAGGAGTCACCACTGGGGTGAAAGTGGGGGTGACAATATGCTCTACAGAAAGACAGCTCTGGGTCTATTTCCTCTGGGTTGCCTGCTACTCAAGAGCCCGAGCTGAGACTCTCCATCATAGACTGGTCTTGATGGTCTCATTAACAAGATCTAGCGCCCGACTAAGGCAACACCTTGTCTAGCACGGGAAGGTGACACCATCAGGTTTTCTTGACTAGGTTTCAAATGCAAGGCTTGTGAAAAAGAGTAGAGTAGCATGTGGTGGACTGACACACCTAGGCAGCAAGCTGAAGTCAAGAGACAGCCAGCCCCATCTCTGACTGGAGAGACTCGAGCAGAAAGAAGCCAGTGGCAAACAGCCCTTAAGCTAATGAGATTCACCAACTACAATGGCCCAGCTGTGTCCCAGGAGGCCCTCTGTGTCCTAGGAGGTGACTCCTGCAGTTGTCCCCTGCGGTAGGTCCCTTACCCATTGGACAGTGCCAATTGGAGATGACACAGGAGATCAGAGGGAGGAGGAGAGAGAGCAGAGGACCCCAATACACCTCAGGCCTTGCACCATGCTCTCGGGGTGGCTGCATCCCCCCCTCCCCAGCAGGGCCTCTTCAATGATGCTCCTGTTCTCCCAGGCTCCCACTTTTACACCCAGTGTCTCAATGGCTTCTCACTATTGTCGACATCTGAGCAACCCACCTAGTTCCCCTGATTCTGTGTGTTTCCACAAGTAGTTCCTTAATTAGATCATCCTCCGAGCTCACACTTTGCAGCCTCTTATTTTACTGGGAACAGTGTGTAACATGGCATAAAGAGTAACTAGCATTTAAAAAATGGGGAGAGGGACAGGCCATCAGAGCAGTGTTCGTGAGAGCTGTGAAGAGGGGTCTCACTCTGTGTGCATGCGTGTGCGTATGGGCATGTGTGTATGCAGATGTGTGTGTGTGTGTGCACTCGAGTGTGTGTACTGTGCATAGGCACATGTGTGCCATTGTATGTGGAGACCAGAAGTCAACATCAGGCTTCTCCCCTAGCAAGCTCCACCTTATAAGAAACAGTGCTTAGATGCTTCAAAGAAGGTGTCAAAGCCTGTGCCTTAAAAATGTTGTTAGGTCTGCGGACCTGTTCTAGCCTCTTAGGGAGGAGCGCTGGCTTTCTCTCTCTTCATACAACACAGGTGTGTCCACGTTCCTTGTTTGCCTTTCTCCTCTTTTTCCCTGTGGTGACCCAAGCAGGGCTTTCCATGAAACCCCAGTACCAGACGCACAAGTCAGGGTGCCAGACATTTTGTTAAGTTTCAAGGAATAGAGTATTGAGCTAAGAAGTCACATGCCTCTCTTAATTACAGTTCTCATTAAACCCAATACTTCTAAACCCAGGCACGTATTGAAGCCCTACTGTGTGTCAGGCATCATACTAGACTCTGCAGACAAATGAATGAAGAGCAAGACACACACAGTCCCTGCCCTCAATGGTAAGCATTGGGGGAATGGAGACAAGAAGGGGGAAGGCAGGAGCTGAAACAGGGGAATGGAAGAGTTAATGAAAACTTACGCAAATAAGCTTCTAATTATAACTCCTGACACACAGTTCATAGGCAAATTGGAACTAGATAGGAGGACAACAGGTCCCTCGGGTAACTTGATCCCTGTTGGAAACTTGGACCTGCTGCTATTGGCCTCGGGGTTCACCTGTAAGATGAAGCAAATTCATATGGGCAACGACTTGTCTTCTGCTGCTGAACATGGGCGACTCTGGGTTTGCATAGTTATGCACTCGGGCTCAAGTTTTAAGATGTTGGAGGTGAGTGCAACACTCACTCCCTGATTTCAAGGCTTCCTAAGTGTCCAGTGCCTCTTCTGCCAAGCAAGGATTTTAGTGTTTGACGAGCTGTGAATCAAAGCTAAACGGGGCAGCTGGGAGGAGCAGGTCTGTCTGGTGGCTAAGAAGAAAGCTCATGCATTTTTTTTTTTTTTTTTTTTTTTTTGGTCTGGAGCGCTGGGGATGTTTTTACTCACCCAGGTAAAGACAATAAGCGTTTGGATCAACTCTTTGGGGAACCAAGAGGGAAGAGGCTCTTGGTGGACACATGGTTGCCAATAGTCCCTGTTTCCCAGGATATGGTGCATCTAGAGCCCCCAGAACTATTCCCATCTCTCTGACCACTGTCTCATCAGCATCCTGCTTCCAGGGATACAAGGAATCAGAACTAACAGAGATCTGCACTTCTGAAACGCTAGAAGCAGCCTCTGCCTGCTGCTTTCTCTGGTTTCCCAATGCCCTGACTAAAACAAATTTTGTCTCCAGTTCGTCTTCTCACTTGGTGATCTGACCTACTACAGACAAAAAAGCATTGAATTTTGGGGGGTCTTATTTGGGTAATTCATAGCTTTTGATGTTTTTATGTAACATTCAATACTCAATAAATAAATGGAGTTTTTTGCTATTGTGCTAGACATTTTGTTAGTTTCAAGGAGTAATGAGCTGGGCCCACATGGAGCCTGGCCTTAAGGGGTTTACAATGTAGGCACAGAGATGGACAATTAAACTAGTAATTGCAATAAATTATGGTAAGTGTTACATAGGGTGATCAAAGGCACTTGTCTCCAGAGTCAAGGAAGGCTTCTGGGGGGGGGTAGAAATCCCTTTAAATGAGTATGTAAAAGAAGGCAAAGATCTGGACGTGAGAAGCTAGTGGGTGAGAGAGAGCCCATTTTCAGGACAAGTAGTAACAAGCTTTCCCCAAAAGTGATGGGCAAAGTCTTTCTTTAGGGGAAAGAGACATGCTAAAGGAAGTTCACTCTAGCTGTAGAGAAAGACGGAAGAAAAAGCAGGAAGGTGGCTCCCACCAGCTGTGGGAGCTGGGATAGGAGGGCAGCTTTATTTGGAGGTCGCTGGGAGACCCCCGAAGGGTTCTAAACAAGAAGTTTCATGGTTACTTGTGTGTTGAGGATAGGTCCTGTTTATGGCAATGTGAGGTATGGACCAGAGGGCTTCGAGACTGGAGAAGGGTCACTTTTAGATGACACAATAATCCAGCCAAGTGGCAATACTGATCTAGACTAGGGTGTTGACTCAAGATATACACACAGACACTGTTGAGCAGTTTAGGTTAGGTGGAAGGACATACCGATGAGCTACATGGAGACGGAGACGAGTAAGGACCCTGAAGGCTGTTCTCGTGGATTGTACCACCTGCCTCGGGAAAGTCTACCCTCAGAAGGAGCAGACATATCGAGTAAAGGGAAGCATCACTGGTAGACATTACATTCAGGGACTTGGAAGCAGTTTAAGGTACCCTCATGAAGACAGTGAGCCGTTGGACCAAGAGAACCAAGAGAGATGTCTGGGTGGGACAGAGAATGGAATGTGTTCGCCGATAGATGGTAGTGTGGCTTGGATGTGAACTGTCCCCCAGAGGCTTTGTGTTTGAACATGTGGTCCCCAGCTGGCCACACTATTTTGGAAGATTGTAGAATCTTCAGGAGGTGGAGGAGCCCTGCTGGAGAAAGTAGGTCACTAGGGGCGGGCCTTTCATAGCTCGGCTCCACTTCCTGTCTGTCTGCACTCTGCTTCCTGTCTGCACTCTGCTTCCTGTCTGCACTCTGCTTCCTGTCTGCAGCCGCCATCCCTCTTCCTCCCTCAT